AAACACTTTGGCAGTTCCTCAAAATGGTCAACATGAAGTAACCATATGATCCAGTGGTTTGTCTCTTAGGGGATATTTCACGTGAGAGACATGAAGACCTACATCCATACAAACAGCTGTACAGCATGAATGTTCATGGCAGCAGTACTTAAAGTATTCACAGCAGCTAAAAACTTGGTGGACAACCCAAGTGCCCATCAACAAATGAATGAAAACACAACACGCAGTGCAGCCACACAATGGATATTAATCAGCCAGAGACAAAAGGCCACACAGAGGCCGGGTGTGGTGGCTCACGCCTGTAAACCAAGCACTTTGGAGGCCAAGGCGGGCGGATCACCTAAGGTCGGGAGTTCAAGACCGGCCTGACCAACAGGGTGAAACCCCGTCTTTAAAAAAAAAAAAGGCCACACAGTCTATGACTCCACTGATATGAAATGGCCAGAACAGGCAAATCCAGAGAGACAGGAAGCAGATTAGTGCTTGCCAGGGGTGGGATGACTGATAAAGAGGGAGGATGGGGTTTCTTTTGGGGTGTTGAAAGTGGTCTAAATTCTGATCATGGCAATGGTTGCACAACTCTATGAACATACTAAAAAAAAAAAACAAAATCAACAAATTGGACATAATTCATTATTATTATTATTTTTGAGACAGAGTCGCACTCTGTGACCAGGCTGGAGTGCAGTGGCACGATCTTGGCTCACTCCGCCTCCCGTGTTCAAGTGATTCTCCTGCCTCAACCTTCCGAGTAGCTGGGATTACAGGTGTGCACCACCAAGCCTGACTAACTTTTGTATTTTAGCAGAGACAGGGTTTTGTCATGTTGGCCAGGCTGTTCTCGAACCCCTGACCTCACGAGATCCACCCGCTTTGGCCTCAAAGGGCTGAGATTACAGGCAAGACCCACCGCTCCCAGCCAGTAAATTGGACAGATTTTAAATGGGTGAATTGTATGGTATGATATGGGAATCTCAATAAAGACATTAAAGATACAAGATGAAAAGGGAAGGGCTGCGGGCTAGGCTCAGGAGGGAGTGGGGACAGAACTGGGTGTGGGAGATAGTGGGGGTGGGAGTGGAAGTCATTTCAAGAGGGGTGTGGATTAAAAGCAGCCTGAGCCAGCCCAACATGTCCTAGGATGGCTGGGCAAGGCAGAGAGAGGAGCAGGTGCCAGGCTTGGGGCCACCAGGCCTTGAACAGGAGCAGAGAAGGTAGGTCTGATGGGGGAGGGCCGCTGAGGACCATGGCTCAGGAGAGGCAGGGGACTAGCCCGGTGTGGTGGCGCGCACCTGTAGTCCCAGCTACTCAGGAGGCTGATGTAGGAGAATCGCTTGAACCCCGGAGACGGAGGTTGTGGTGAGCCATTGCACCCCAGCTTGGGCAAGAAGAACGAAACTCCATCTCAAAAAAAAAAAAAAAAAAGAGGCAGGGGAGGAGGACAGAGGGGCCTGTGCACTTGCTCTTCTGTTGCAGAGCAGGCTGCTTCTCAGAGAGGTCCTCCTGGCACATCCTGGCTTAAGTGGGTCCAGGTTATCCCAGGCCTCACCAACAACTAGAAATCCTGGCATGACATGTTGTATCTCTTCAGCTCAGCTGTGAGCACTTGGGGGCAGGGCCTGGCACCACGTGCTCACTCAACAATGAAAGTAGGGCCACAAAGAGCACACCACCAGAGGGGAATCCTCCTCACTCCTCTGTCGGGAAAGGCTGGGGTGGGTATGTATGTGCTGTAACAAAAGTCCATGACATTAGGAGACCCAACCCCGGGCAGTGGTATTTAGGGCACCACAATGCTGTATATTTATACAAAAATGAGATGCTGCGGCCTGGCGCCGTGGCTCACACCTGTAATCCCAACACTTTGGAAGGCCAACGCAGGCGGATCACCTGTGGTCAGGAGTTTGAGACCAGCCTGGCCAACATCGTGAAATCCCATCTCTACTAAAAATACAAAAATTAGCCACACATGGTGGGGCACGCCTGTTATTCCAGCAACTTGGGGGGCAGAGACAAGAGAATTGCTTGAACCCGGGAGGCAGAAGTTGCAATGAGCTAAGATCGCACCACTGCACTCCAGCTTGAGTGACTGAGCAAGACTCAGTCTCCAAAAAAAAAAGGGATGCTAGAAGTGGGGAGCTCAGGGATCCCCCAGGGCTGGGGTCCTTCTGTGGCCTGGTCTGGCTGCAGGTCTCATAGGTGCACATTTGGAGAGAGATCCTGTGCTGCACACATGACATAGCTGGGCAGACCAGGTTACACCTGAGAAAAATGAGACGCGGCTAGGTGCAGTGGCTCAGGCCTGTAATCTCAGCACTTTGGGAGGCTGAGGCTGGGGAATCACCTGAGATCAGGAGTTGGAGACCAGCCTGGCCAACATGGTGAAACCCTGTCTCTACTAACATTACAAAA